TGTATGAGTTGTTGACTTTTTGATTTTTTTAATAATTTTTTGACTTTTTGGCTAAAAGGAGCACTTGCCAAACGAGTTTCTGGATATGGTTCAATCATCAAGCTCTACTCTTTTTATTTTTATTTTTATTTTCTTAATTTTTTAATGCCTCTTTGAAAATTATAAGGCTTGCAACAAACTCAAAACCAGTCATGGGTACATTCAGTTGCATCAAGGGGGTGCATGTTTCTAAAGCATAGTTTTTGTACAACACTTACTAGAGCATGTCACAGCTTCTAGCTGTCAACAAAGTGATTTTGACATTAAAGTTGTTCTATGCCATCGCATGCTTTTAGTTAGCTGTTTGAAGGACTGGAAAACAAGGCCAGTGATTCTCACTCAGAAACTGGTACTGCAGGAATTGAGTTTAGTTATCATGGTATGCTTTGAACTCTCAATTGCTCAGTTATGCTTAAACATCATAGCTAATGCCATGAACAACCAGTGCCGATTATAAACAAACGTTTGAGGACAATTGAATCGCATTCACAAAACACTACAAAGCAGGCCTTCAAAATCGACGATTACAGGAGGGAACAGACTAAACAAGTATACAATACTGCATAAAACAAGACACAAAAAGAAAAAAATATGTTGACACCATTGATTCCACTCATTTTTCATGGTTGCGCCATTTTTGACTCAAGAAAATTCCTAGTTTAGGCCTACAATGTATACAAGCAGCTTCCATCATCACTCCTAGAGGTTGGATCGAAGTTCACTGCAGATGGGTCAGTGCAGCCTTCACGGATGGGAAGGTTGATTTGTTGGGCTGCTTTCCCTGCATCCAAACAATAATGAAAATCTTAAGCAAGCTCTTCTCAATCTTTATTTTTATCTTAATCCAGAAGGCAGATGCAAACCTCCCATCAAAACCTTTAGGCTATGTTTGGTTGAAGAATTTGGAGAGGGATTTGGAGAAGGAACGGGAAAATATGTGTGAAACTAGGTGAAATGTAGGTGTATTTTATTTACATTTCACCGTCCTTTTCCCTTTTTTTTTTGGTCCAAATCCCTCTCCAAATCATTGAACCAAACATAGCCTTAGGATCAAGGGTGGGTTCTAACCATAGAAAGTTCCTTTGTTTATGGCATCATCATTAGCATCTCCAAGGGCTGCCTCACTCAAGTACTTGTCGGCCAATTGAACTCTCTTCACATTCTCTTGCTCTTGGACAAGCATGCTTCCGTACTCTAGAAGCTTCTCTAGAGTCATCTTTGGCTGCTCGAAAGTTGGGGGTGCCTCCTTTGAGTTCACAAGCCTTTTCCCAATGCTTTCAACCCCAATGCTTGAAATCCACTTCCTCACTTCATCATCATACACTCTAGCCCTGAGGGCACCGAAGAAGTCTGCACAAAAAACACAATGATGTTGATCCGTTTCATGTCTTGATTATGCACTGATAAATAACTTTTTCATGTTACTTAGTGGTTTCTCAATTCATACAATGTTTCAATGTTAACAATAGAGTTTCATGTTAGAATCATCTTAGTAGTTTCATGTTCCAATCAGCTCTTTTGATGCATCTGGCAAACCAGTTTATGTGTTCAAACAAGATGGACATTATGAGCTAGGGCTTACCAATAGATTGCCCAGGGAAGGTGTCAACAAGCTTGACAATGTCATTCTTGGGAACATTGTCGGTCCTGAAGATACCTGTGCAGACACCAATGCGATCTTCCCTTGTAGGAGCCCAGTAGAATTTCTCCATACGACCATCACGGATGAGAGGGGCATACAATGTGGAGAAGTCATTTCCGGTGACTACAATGGGAACACGGGGATTCTCTTCCTTGTTGTACATACCAGGGAGCTGGACATTGGTTGGGTTATCGGCAATGTTCATAAGAGTGGCATTCACCATTTGGTTGTTGACAGTGTATTGGGTGGTTCCACCAAGTCTACCAGCTCCTGCATCGAGATCATTGATGAAAAGGACACACATTTTTCCTTTCCTGATGATGTCTGCTGCCTCGCGATACCTTTGCCTAATCAATTTCGCTGGCTCTCCTGCATTCCCACTTTCCAGTTCTCCAGCACTCATCATGATGGGGCTGAAATTTCATTCCCAAAAAAGATCAAAGATAGGTAAGCATCATTGTCAGAGACCTGGAATTGAATCCCACTTTCATCCAAGTTGGGGGGTTTATGAATTGGTAAGGGCTAGCTCTGTTGTGTAGCCCATCGCCATTGAAACAAAATAAAAATGTCTTGAATTCCAGCCTGATTTGATTATGTTGCTGTTTTCTTTGTATTTTCTTTCTAATTTAGGCATGACTTTTTAAACTTGCTCCACGCAAAACTTCTTAAATTTGTAAGGTGTCCAACAACATTACAATTAGAGGATGATTTATGAATTGAAACCACATTCTTAGAATTCGATACTAAAAACATAACTTGTAAAATTAAACAGATTGGGGGAAGGGGTCGAGTGGGTAGGTTGGGTATAAGGGAAATATTCGTAAATAAAGGGAGAAATGTATGAATTAACTCACTTGATTCCCATTTTGGCAAAGACAAGCTCACACTGGAATGATTTTCCCTGACCTTTGCCTCCCCAAATACCCAAGATAAGAGGAACCTGTGAACAATTTGGACAAACCACATATTTTTATTGAGTTCTCTTAAAAATCCAAATGATAGAAATTTAATTTTGAGAAAAACTAGATAACAAACCTTGATATTAGGCAGGGTGAGGAAGTTCTTGGTGATGTGAACAACCAGCTTGTCCATGAAAGCAGGAGCAATGTAGAAGCCATCCATGTTATTATCCAAATTGTATCTAAAAACAGCATACAACATCCAAAAATCAAAATCAAGTCACAAACAAAACAACTTTCAATAGATAGAAATCTCATTAGTTTATCATGTTCTGAGTTACATACTGGCGAAGACCGGCACTGATGTAGTCGTAGGAGCTCATGATTGGGTCATGAGTTCCTGCACCCATTGGAGCTTGAAAGAGAGAGTCCACCATTCCCTTTCCTCTGGTGATGTCCTGTTGGTCGTCAGAGATATCGTATGCAAGGCCTTTCCATCTGTCCTTGTCGGTTTGCTTCTTCTCATCTATTTCTGCAACAACCTTGAAGTTGCCTGAAGAAACCTTTGGGCTTGTGGTTCTAGAGTCTGCTTTTTTCAGACCATTGCCAAAGAAGGCTGTGTTTGGAACAGAACTTGCAGGACTAGAGCCATTCAAATTCAACTGCACCAAACATGTCCTATTGTTTATACCCAATGAAGAAGGAAATTTACAGGAAACTAGAGTCTCCATGCCTCAAGCAATGACTTGCAACAGACACAGAAATTACAAAACCAACAAAAATCAACTCAAAAGCATGATTACCCAATTTATTTTTTCCCTTTCCTAACTAACAGTATCAAATCAAACTAAAAGTTGAACTATACCGAACAAATATATAAACTTCAACATGGAAAGAGACTAGTGTTCTTTCTGCTCAGATGAAATCAAGAGAGACAGACGATAAAAACAAGACGGGTAAATTAGACAGTCCTTGTTTGAGCCCTCTTCTTTTAGCACTTCCGGTTCTATAACTTTGATTTCATCCATTTAAACCCTTATACATTCAATTGTGTTTCATCTAAACCCTTAATCTTTTTGTCAGTTGCCAGAAAAAACGACACGTGTAATTCATGTGGCCACTTTAGCAATACCCGTCCAGGAAAGATAAATAATAAATTATAACAGTAGTCTCTATAATTTCCTTCAATTTCACTTTAATACCTATTCACATATGCCGCTTTTCCGTGAAAATATTAACCAGACAGAAGGAATACATTAAAACGTCATTGGAAGGGAAATTGAAACTACTAAAACCCAAGTAAAATTGTGCTAAAATTATAGGGACTAGTTACGTAATTTTGCCCAAAAACAAGAAACGTAGCACAAAAAGCTCAAGAACTGATTTTCTTAGATGATACCACAGTGATACAAGTGTACAAGTGAAGTGTGAGAAAAGGGGCAGGAAAATCATAGTACCAGAGCTCTGTTGACAGCTCCAACAGTCGAGACGGCGGTAGCCATTGATGGGTGGTTTGTTATCTTATATTTAAAGAAGATGAAGAAGTGAAATTGAAACTTAATTTAAGAGAGTTAGTTGTTCTGACGATGAATAGTATGGTGGAGTGAGGTATATATATAGCAGAGCAGTGAGAGAATGAGTGAGTTGAGAGTGCGGAGAAAGTGAAGAGTTGTTGTGTGGACGTTGGCTTACGAATTCCCAACGGCCACACAAATAAGATTGGCCCAACAAAACGGAGTCTTTGCTTGCTTTTGCCCAAAATCAAAACAAAATGGAGGCTTCTAGGAAGTTAGTAGGTTTGAGGCTCTCTCCTCCATACAAAATTAGTGTAATTTTTATTATTATTTAGAAATTAGGTTAACTGGTTACCACAAATTGGTAGAAGTGGAAAATTTAAGGCCTTGGGGTACTTTTCAAATGAAAGAAAAGGACGATTTTATTTTTTATTTTATTTTTTAAATCTCAAATCAGATGTCAGAAATTGGTGTAGTGGTATGGTCCCTCCGAGTCTGGATTCTCGGTCGCTCTATCCTGCGGCCCCTCCTACGACCCCCTAAAACGACGTCGTTTTGGTACAAAATTTTAATAATAATAAAAAAAAAGACAGAACATAGCAAACAAATAAGGGAGAAGAAGGAAGGCAGCGGCCCTCGGTCTCCTCCCACCATCTGATCCAACTTGTTTTCGCCGCCCTCCATCACCGCCAAACTGAACCACCAGGTGGCCGGTTTTTTTCTGGGTTTTGCTGTTGAACTGTGGGTTGGTAGCGGCGCCGATGGTGAAGGACGTGGGTTGTAGTGGTTGATTAATATAAATGGACGGTGAATGATTTGGTATTGTGGGTATTTGATAGATTAGGATGAGAAGGTGAATTTGATGCTGGCTCAAATTCTAGGTTCTCTTTTTATTTTATAGTTATTTGATAGTTATTGATCAGTGGTTATTGCTCAAATTCTGGGTTCTCTTTTGATAGTTAGTGCTCAAATTCTGGGCTCAAATTGTGGGTATTTGATAGTTACTGATCTGTGGTTCTCTTTGTTGAAGTCTGATGGTAGGTGGGTTTTCAAATTTTTTTTTTTTGTGTGTTTAATTTTGTGGGTTTTTCTTATATATGTTTATACAGTGTTTGATGATTTGAGATTTCGATTTTTGTTGTTGAGGAAATTTTGTGTTCTATTCATCTTTGTTTTTGATTCGACCCACTGAAAATACACAGGTAACGGATGATTGGGTTTTTTTTATATATGTTTATAAAGTGTTTGATGATTTGGGATTTTGATAATTTGTTATTGAGGAAATTTTGTGTTCTATTCATCTTTGTTCTTGATTCGACCCACTGAAAATACACAGGTAACAGATGATTGGGCAATAGCGGTTGCCTTCCTTCTTCTCTCTCGTCGCGTCCCTCCGCCATCTCGCTCCGTTGTGTTCCTCCGTCTCTCCGCCGCTCTCTCTCTTTGTCTTGCGTCTGTCTGTTCATTTTTGTGCTAGGGCTAAACACAGATGAAAGAGTAAGAGATGAAATTGAAAAAATTGGGGGAAACTCAAAATTTGAATGAAAAAAAGAAAGAAAGAAAGAAAGAAAGAAAAAACGACGTCGTTTTTGACAGGGCCGCTGGAAGTGCCGCAGGAATGTGCGGCCGATGATCCGGACTCTGGTTCCTCTATTGTGATTTGGATATCATGAAATCAAACTATGAAAATAGAGATGGGCATAAAATTATGTACATCAATTTTCTCCAAATTTCTCGGTGATGAAGGCCTTGTGCAAAAATGAAACTACCCTAAGAATTTTTGTTTGGATTTTAAATTCAAAAAATTGCTTTCGACTTTTTTTGTTTTTATTTTCATTTTTTTATTGTGAATTTTATTATATTTTAAACAATTTTTTTTTTAACTTTTGTGAATTCGCCTAATTTAAATGCTCCTAAAAACTCAGAAAATTAAGAAGCAATTAGAAAAAGTTAGGTAAAAACAAAAACAAAAAACCAATTACATTTATATATATATATATATATATATATTAAAAAGTAAATAAAAAAAAATTGAAATATAAAAAAAATTTAAAAAAGTAATAAAAAATTAGCTCAAGCAATTTTCAAAAAGTAAATCAAACAAGGTAGCAACTAGAGTGAAATGATGGAAATTAATTTGAAAACGCTGTATTAATAATTCACATAGTCAACATCATAACTATTTGGTATTAATTTTTAACAAAAGAATTGAAAACTCATCAACATGTACTATCTTAATAGATGACATGTTTTTTAACAAGAGTGGTTTTTAAATTTAAATCTTACTGCTATGCAATAAGAACTTCCCTTCCTTTTACCTATTGTAAAAAAAGAAATGCCACATACCTAAAGTCACAATTCAGATCCATCATTTTCAGATATTAAATACAGATAGCTAGCCACGTGGTGACCTCAGGACCAGTGAAAATTACTCTGCCTCACTCTTAGGCACGTGGCACATCCTCAGGACATCTCATTTTCACAATCCTATTGTCCTGTTTTGTATATAATTGCTCTTTGCTTGTAATGTTGTGGGGCAATCACAATTTATTGCCTTCTTTTGTGTGGTCCTCTTGGGTACTAGAACTTTACAATCAATTGAGATCCACGGCAATTTAACAGTTTTCCTATCTTGTTGGTTTGCTTCTCTAGATTGTTCCCGGGAGTTCCAATTAAAGTCTAATTAGCAAAACAGTGGTTGTCATCATCGTAACGATGGCGGTGACACAATTGCGGTTGTAGAGTATAAAGGCCGTAGCGTAACGGTTGAGATAACCGAAACTGTAAATTTTTTTTTTAATTTTTCGCACGATTTGAAAAAAACTTACCGATACCCATTTATTTCCCCATAATCATATTTATTGGGTTTTAAAATAAATATTGATCAATTTTTATACATTTTAAAGTATGATCCAATATATTTTATATTTTTAAATCACTATAAACTGAGTTTTTTACATTTTATTTTAATAATTAATAATTTTATATGTCATAAATCCATATTTCGCTTGTGGTAATTTTTTTTTATTGGACTTAGATATATAAAATTAGTTTTTTAATTATTATACTCGTGGAACCATATGCAAATTTTAACTTGAATAGTTTTAAAAAATAAATTTTATATGCTAATGTAATCATATAAAAATTTAAAAATAAATTATAAAGATATTTTTTTTTTTTTTTATAGTTTGGATCACTTGAATATTCATTCTCTTTTTGGATAACCAGTAAATAAAAATAAAATAAACTAATCAAAAAAATTGATATGTATAAAATATGTATTAATATATAATTATACGTGTTATGCTTTTTAGATATTTAAAAAAAAATTCAATTACTAACTATTATATATAAGATAAACATGACAAAAGTAAGAGAATAAATAAGAGCCTAAATATATATATATATATATATATATAGAGTATATTTTTTAATCAAGCTAAATAGATAATGACCACACTTATTATTATTATTATAGATAATGGCACACTTATTATTATTATTATTATTATTTTCAAACAAATAGATAGACACAATATAATGGTTGACTAATAGCAGCTGAATAAAATAACATAGGTCTTACAGCTTTAACAAATCAATAATATGTTCTTCATCTTCTCTCTCTATTCATCTTTTCCCATTTTCAGCCTTTTTTTTTTTAATTTTTTTTTCCAAAAGAAACAATTCCAAACCGTTACGTAACGATACATAATAGGCCGTTATGACCACTACGGCATCCGCTATGGCCGACACACCTGTAAATCTCAATCACACCATAAAAGCGGTTGTAACGGGTGACGATAACCACCACAACTGTTACGTAACGGCGTTACATAACTTTTGCGCTCGTTTTTTAAAACCTTACTAATTAGTAATTGGATAAATTAGACTGATCACTCTGAGAATAAAAAAATAAAAAAAAAACAATAAAATAAAAATCATGATAATTTGAACTTTGTTTAATTGAAATCATGAAGAGATGACTAGCGTGTAAGTTCCAAGCAGTTTGGTTGAAAGTTGAAAATGTGGACTACATTAAAATAAGAACCAATACTTTGTAGAATAGAAAGAATGGATCTGGTATTTGTCAATAATTGAGGACTTAAGGTCAGTTACACATTGAGAGGGAGATTTTATGTGAACTAGGGCCGAGCTAAGTCCAGGTATAGTGAGGAACCGAGCTATGGGCCGAGGTGAATGGGTTTCGCAGCTTGAAGCTTACTCCTCTTAGCTCGGTCAGAGATAGCTGCAAATAGCTCAATCTTAGTATTCCAAACCGAGGTATAAGTGGGCGATGACCGAGCTAGGCATTGCTCGTGGAAGCACTAAGCTGAGTGTGTCAGAGGAATTAGCTCGGTTGTGCTGTCATTCTGCCGTGGTAAAACCATCTTACTTAGCTTGCAGTAATGAGGGTGTTTTAAGAATAAGCATTATCCTTGGACTTAAGGCTTCTAGAAGGACTTTGTTAAGGAGAGTAGAGTCCTACCAGTATTGTGCAAGGCTATCTCACTTAGTTGGTAAGTGAGAATGTATGTAATTCCTAGGAGGACTTTTATAAGGAGAGTTGGAATCCTACTAGGATTGTGCAATGCGGAATCTATAAAATCTCATAGCAGGATCTATGTATAGGTATCACAATTCTTATTCTAGAATACATAGAGCTTTTTGTCTATTGTCTATTTGCCTAATGACTTAGGCATCGGAGAGGTATCTGGCACACACCCGCCGGCTAGCTCACGTTTGTGTTTTCAAGGAGTAAAACAACGACGTTTGGAGGAGTGCAAATTTTGATCAATAGGATTATACGAGAAAATTATTTCGTACTCGTACACACATAAATATGAGTAAGAATATTTGCATAGAAATCAGCATGGGACATAATCTTTTCGTAAAAGGTGAGTCTCAAATGACACAAGTGGAACTTATCATTTGTGAGAAGGATGTATCCCATTTTGTATTTTAATTTTTGTATTCCTAACATTACTATATAAATATAAATGTATATAAATCTTCGTTTATTTTGTCGTAAAATATTAATTTTAATATGGACAAATGCCTTGTCTTATAGTACAATTATTTTCTTTTTCGGTTTAATCTTGAATTTAGACCCCTTTTTTGTTTTTGGAAAGAACAAAAAATAA